GACCGGCTCCGCGGCCGACACTCACCGCTGCCCCCACCCCAAAGGCGCCAAAGGCACCCGGTCCCGGAGCAGCCACGCGCGGCCCGTGAGCCTCGCCACCAGCGGGGGCTCGGAGGAGGAGGACAAAGACGGCGGGGTGCTGTTTCACGTTAACAAGAGCGGCTTCCCCATCGACAGCCACACCTGGGAGCGCATGTGGATGCACGTGGCCAAGGTGCACCCCAAGGGGGGAGAAATGGTGGGCGCTATCAGGAACGCCACCTTCTTGGCAAAGGTCAGTGTCTTCCAAGGAGGGGGTGGGGTGGGCATTGACGGGACCATTTCAGCCTGTATGGAGCAAATAGAGGCAATTTTCATTTTCTGGTCCTGCTCCGAACTCCCTTTTACTCCCCGGCCTTCTCCACAGCCCCACCCCCTTTGCTTTATTGAGATATTTGCCTTGGAAGCCTTAGAAATGGGGGAGGGGGAGGTGGGTGCTTGCTGTCCTGGGACTGTAAGGTCAGGTTGTGCCAAGGTTTCTTTGAATCTCGAGCCAAAGTCTTATTTATTTACTCACCCCCATGTCCACCCTCCTTCAGCAAGAACTATAGCACCAGCCATGCCAAGAATGCATAGGCCCCTAGGGGGTCCCATCCTGCTTTTCCTGTCTGGAGTCTCTTGGTTCCCCCGCCCCCCCTTGGAAATGATTTATTAGGCTGTGAATGAATTTGCACTCAACCAGTCAGACTTCTCAGCGTGAATCATTTCTAGACTTTTTGCCAATTTTTTTTTTCTTTTTTTAATGACGGTGACTTTCACCTCTGAAACTTGCGAAGCAGTGAATTCTCTCTTTTTCTGGCTTATCTGGGCTCCGAGAAGAAAATGGAGTTTGGGCTATAGCTTTAAAAGGGACTTTCCAGACGTGATGAATTAGTCTCACTGGACAGAGAGAGAGGCTCACGAGTGAAACTTTCTACCTTGGAGAATAGCCAGTGAGCTGATTTGGTTTGGTGGCCAAGGATAACTTAGAAAAACGAAGGGAGGGAGATGTGCAGTGGTCACTATATGAAACATCAAAATGCAAAGTGGGGGAGAAATGCTGCGGAATCTGGGGAGGGGGAGCTTGTAGCATGGCAGATGGTTTCCCCTGCACCCTGGGGACACTAGCATGGCTGAGAAAATTCCTGGGCTGGTCTAGGAATGCCAGACCTGAGACTTGGAAGGCCATTTGGTTGAGTCCTCAACCTGGAGCATCTGGTGACCTGAGCATCTGAGCACTGCAGGCCAGGAAGCTGTGTGTGCCCTTGGGGGAAGTGACAGAGCCAGTAAGCATCCTGCTGCAATCAGTAGCTGTGTTTTATTACTCTGCTGGTCAAGTAAATCTTCACTGTGCCCAACAGAGTCTTGCCTGCTTTAGTGTCAGCCGTTATAACCCTTACCGAGTCTTCCTTGAGCATCAGAACAGCACTGGTCCTGGCCTGCCGCTCTGACTTCTGGACTTGTCCTTACTTAAAGGAGTCTTTTCTTACATAAGGAGGAGATGGAAGCCCTTAAACCTGGAAGAGAGGTGGCCGCAGGGGACAGAGGCCTTTTCCTACTGTCCTGTGCTGCTTTTCTAACTCAATGCCCTCAGCACTGACCATTGTGGCTTCATCCGTCTCCCAATCTTTTGTGTGGGGACCCCCTTTCTTTATGGGAATCAGGGACTGTATGTGCTGGTGGAGACCAGTTTCCCACCTCTCAGCAGAATTCCTTCCTCTTTCTGAAGACCTCCTGGGAACGGGCAGGGGACGGGGGAGCAGCTCATTGTCTCACAGGGCAGCTGGTCCCAGGCCTGGCCAGATTTGATTGGTGAGAAACTCCTAGACTGAACAGAAATCCTCCTTCTCCCCACCTAGTCACAAGTCACCACTGATGCTTGTGTCGCCCTTTGCACCAGGACAGCATGTGTCGACGTCCTTTGCTACTCACAGCTCCCTTTGAACGTCACGAGATGGAACTCTTTGAGTAAAGAAGGGACTGAATTTCAGTTCTGGCTGTGTTGTTCTAGCCTGTGGCCTTGATTACTCACTTAAAATCCTTGGCTTCAGTTTTCTTATCTTTAAAATGAGAGTAGACCGGACTTCATGTAAAGTTCTTTCTCACTCTCAGATCTCATGATGTTCTGACCCTTGAGTCTCAGGTCTCTAATTCTGACCCGCATGACACTAGACATGTCTGTGTGACGCTAGAGGTGCATTCCTCAGAGCTGTGACACTGTCAATCTGCATCTTCCTTTAGTCTTCTTTGTCCGCAGGCAACTCCTTTAACCTTTTATTATGTGTCATAGTTCCCTGATCAACTCACTCTCCTCGTCCTCTTTCTAGAATGATCGCTAGTTTGTCATCAATTAATCCCCTAAAATTAGCACATATGAAACACAATATTCTAAATGTTGTCTGAGCAGCTGAGGACACAGATCACTATTTCCTGAGACTTGTACTTGATACTTCCATTACCGCGGCTGGATGCTGTATTCTTAAAAAAGAGTGGCCCCTTTCTTTATAGAGTGGCCACATCACATTGTGACCTGAAAGTCACACGCAAACTCCGGCCAAGCCAGGACAAGCCCAGCTTAACCTGGGCACTGGCTTTTTGAACCTAAGAACTTAATATCTCTCTCTTACGTTGCATCATATGGTTAGTTCTCCATCCCCAACCCCATCATGGCATCTGCCTGTCTCTCTGGTCCCGACATTCCTCAAACTGACCCCTACATAGGCTCTGAGATGGGGACAAGTTCAAAAGCTCTCGTTTCCAGGGGGCACTCCTGTCTGATTCAGGGGCTATTCTTGCACTCGGCTTGGCAGACTGTTCCATCTTGGGCCAAGTTCTTTGATTCTTTAACCAAATCAATGTCTTACTGAGGACTTTGCCCAGAAGAAGAGTGGTCTGTCACGGTGGAAGGGTTGGAGAGTTTCAGGGAGATTAAGCATTTTTGGTAGTTGAATTTGGCAAGGAAGTGGACAGGGGAAGGTGTCACAGGCCTAAGAGGAGGCCTGATTGACACGTCCTTTGACTGCTAAACATTCTGTTAGCAGCCATGGTTAAGTTCTGCCCGAAGGTCCAGGTGCTCCCACCTAGTGGGGAGGGGACCCACCTGCTCTACAATCCTCTTAAATTTGTGGCCTCTGGTTACTGGGTTTGAAGTTCACAATTAACTAGGTGAAGGCCAGCGTTTCTCAGGGATAGTACAAGAAAGCAACTCCAGTCAGTTGGAGGATGATGGAGGATGGAAGTGAGGGGCAGAGAGGTGCCCACGCTGGGGTCGTTTCTTGCAGACCTCACATTCTTGTGCCTTGTGCTCACGTTGATCTCAAATGGTAAGTAATTTGCATTAGAGGATTCAGCTTTGCCCCAGTGAAGTGTGAGTGCTGTGGGGTGAGGCTTTGCTGCAGTCAGGGCTCCACTCCTGCCCCCTGCTGGTTCACTCTGGCAGCTCCCTCCTCCCCCGTCCTGCATTCGTCTGTTCTTGCTGCTCCTCCCGAGGTTGTGACCCCTGGGCCTTTGTACCAGGCCACTATCCACGATTCTTGGCTGCCCCTGATGCAGAGGCCTGGGGCCCGTCCTGGGCTCATGAGTGATGTTCCGTGCTCTCCAGGTTGCCTCAGGAGATTCTCCTGCCTGGTGCCCGCCCAGTGTACTTTTCAGAGCAGGGACAGCGAAAGGCTTTGCTTTCTCCTTGTTCTTTCTTATCAAAGATTCCTGATGCCAGGGGCTCTCGCTGCCTCCCTGGCTCCCTTCTGGCTTCCCCCTTCTCTCCCACATGGTGATGCCATGGTGATGATACACACTTGTGTCCATCCCCATCCCTTCCCCTTGCATTCTTCTGACAGGTCATTGTGTTTGGCAAGAATGGAGTGAAAGAGAGCTCGTCTACAAAAGCCTTGCCTGTGGTTTGTTTCATTGTTCTTGAATAACCAGTTTCCTGTCCCCTTCACTCTCTCCTTCTACAACCCCATCCCCAAGACCCCCACCCCCTGGCCATAGGCACGGTGCCTGTGTGGAGAGGGCCCTCTAGATTCTGCCTTCATCAGCTGGGCTGTGGCCTGAGGGGGCTGGATGCAGGTGGCATGAGGCAGGAACTTCGAGGGGAGGGTCCATGGAAAAGCTCGGTTAGAGTTTCAGGTGAAATAGGGCAGAAAAATAACATGAGGGACTTTCAGGATCCCCATCAGGGAGAAAACAAAAGGGGTGTGCCCTGGAATCTTCATAAAAAGGTACCAATTTATGTTCCTAACCTGCTGTCTGAGAGCACCCTCACCAACACTGAGTATCTACATATCGGAATATCTCTGCTAGTTGGAGAGGTGAAAAATGACATTTTGCTTTAATTTGTACTTCTTAAACTATCAGGGAGCTTGAATAATTTTTTCAAACATTTATTCCCTATTACATATCTCCTTTTGTAAATTGTCTTTTCATGGCCATTTTAGCAATTGTGGTAAAATATACGTAACGTATAATTTGCCATTTTAACCATTTTTTAAATGTACAGTTCTGTGCAATAAGTACGTTCACGTTGTTGTGCAACATCACCGCCTTCCATTTCCAGAATCTTCTCTTCCTCCCCAGCTGAGACTTTGTATTCATTAAACACTAACTCCCCATTTCTCCTCCTTCAGCCCCTGGCAACCACCCTTCTTTCTGTCTTTATGAATTTGACTACTGTACGAACCTCATATAAGAAGAGTCCTACAATATTTGTCCTTTGTGACCAGCTTATTTCGCCTAGGATAAGGTCTTTGAAATTTATCCATGTTGTAGCATGTGTCAAATATCCTTGCTTTTTATGGCTGAATAATATTTCATTGTGTGTATTCACCCCGTTTTATTTATCCATTTATCTGTTGTCAGACACTTGGGTTGCTTACACCTTTTGGGGCCATTTTTTTCTTTGCGGCCTGAAGAGTTTTCTTATCACTTTGTGTGAACTCTTCATGACTTAAGAAGATTAACTCATGGTCTCAGGGATAAGTGGATGTTTTCATCCTCTTTTTTGGGCGTGAGAAGGCGTCTTCGTGATGCTCCCCGTGTCCAGGGACTCAGGCTCTGCCAGTTCTGTTTTCCAGTTGCTGGAAAGGGAAGACCTTTCAGGCTTCCCCATTCTAGACCCCTGAAAGCACACTGCTGGTCAATAATAACACAGCTAACACTTAAAGAGCACCGAGCGCCGGGCCCCAAGTTGTCTGCTTTATACATTAGGTCATCTAATCCTCGTAACCATCCCAGAAGGCTTGAAGTAGATGATATTCTCCTCTTTTATCACGAAGGAAATGAAGGCTTAGAGAGGTCATGCAGCTTGACCAGGGTCTTCAGCCAGCAGGTGACAGAGCAGGATCTCAAACCTTGTTGTGTGGGATGCGTAATCACACCCCAAGGAGCCCACCTGGTTAACAGTCCATGGTCCTGTGGGGGCACTGGCAGCCCGAGGGGCTGGTTGGGAGCTGAGCCGCAGCCTGAGCCCCAGTCAGGGTGAGTGGTGGCAGATGACATCACCCCCTCAGCAGTCTCAGCTCCTCTCTCCACCACGGCTCTGCTCCCCAGCTGGGGTTTGGGGAATGTGGCCCCAGCTGGGGTTTGGGGAATGTGGCCGCAGCTCCTGCACTCACTCTCTGCAGGGGCTGAGGTAACCAGGCAGCTGTTTTTAAAAGCCCTTGGGCGCCACAGGGCTGCTAGTCTAAGGACCAGCTGCCTCCTGACTCCTACTCCATCATCCGGCTCTTGTGGTCTCTGTTGGGCTTGGGAGAATCAAAATAATTCGGAGGTCAGCCCCCATAGCTGACTCAGAACCCTGTCACTCTGGCCACCTCAGGGCTCTGGCCAATGACGCCCTGCCTCTGGCGGCCTGTGATTTTATGGGGCATTTCCCCATGCTTACCAGATTTTCTATTAAATAGATACCAACAGCACTTTTCTTGTAGAAATATGCTCGTGCCTTAATGAACTGTGTCATCTCCTCCCTCCCTTCCTCTATGTCTGTGTCCCCTTCCCCTTTGTACCTGCTCTAGAGCTTGCGACACGGGGGGTGCTGAAGAGATATTCGTCCACGTCTCCCCTGTCTCCTCACTTCTCTGTAAAATCTCTGGAACATTCTTACACAGAATTCCATGTTTGGGTAGATCAGTGGATGTTACTGCAAAAAAAAAAAAAAAAAAAAAAAAAAGCCAGATACTTCCTGGTGTTTGTTAGGGCAGAAAACAAAGGATACTCTTCATATTTTGACTTGCTGGGGGTGGCAGTTGAGCAAATGTTCAAATTAGAACATTTTGCTCCCAAAAATGACTCTTCTAGGCAAGAATGTGAGTTGAGTTGATATGTTGTAATCAAATGTAGTTCACAGAACAGCTGTGTGTGTGCGCACACACTCTTACATTCACACGTACAGACACACACACACACACACACACACACACACACGGCAACTTGGCTGTGAAGTGGGAAGTGTAACTAGTTTCCTTTCTGTCAAAGGGGCAGTAGGAAGTTTCGAAGATGAGAGAACAGGCACTGAGAGGTGGCATTTTAAGTAAATGCAGCGCGCAGCACAGGGTGTAGGGGTGTGGGAGCCCCCCCCACCCCTCTCAGGCTGGGGGAGGGGGTAGCCGCCCTGCAGCTTCTCTGTGGGGCCTGAGCCCGGGGGTCTGGAGAGCTCTGGTGCCCAGCCATGCTGCTCAGCACCATCCCCATGTCTGTTCATCAGCAGCTTCATCATCCATCACTTAAGCCCTAAATCCCCGGGGCCTCCCTTGCGTCTCCTCCTGGGATAGAGCTAATCTGTCCCGAGGCCCCTTCTGCTCCTCCCTAAGCAGCGTAAGCCTGGAGGAGCCTCCTCTCTCCATCCTGACAGCAGTACCGCAGCGGCCAAAGACCCACGTGGGCTGAGTGTCTCTGTCCCCAACAGCCCCACCCCACCAGAGAGGCAAGGTAAAGAGACAGACACATAGGGGAATAAAGCAGAAACGCCCCTCGCTTCCCCGCAGCAGTCTGGTGGGCAGCCCCGGCTTGTTCTCGCCCGTGGCCCTGTTGGCAGTGCTGCTCAGAGTCCAGAGGTGTCTTAGCTCGAAGTTCCAGACCAGAGGCGTTTACCGCCCCCTCCCTGTCCTTGCCTGCATTGCTCCTTTCTCTTCCCCGAATGCTGTGCAGACACTCAGTGAGTGTCGACTAAGCGGCAGACTTGGAAACAAGGAGATAATCGAGCAGCCGTGAGGGGTAAAAGGCTGAGACGGGCTCATGAGTCAGAGGAGCTGCACGTAGCTGGGAAGAGTCGAGGCAAGAGGGGAATTGTTCCTAATTCATTTGGGGCCAGCCTCGGGGAGAGGACTCGGTGGGCGTGGCGGAGCGTGGTGATGAGGAGAAATGGCAGCCCTGGTGCCATGCTGCATTTCTTCTGGGCACCATTCACCCTGTGTTCAGTGGCGCCCTGGAGTGGAGCACGTATGTAGGTCACGCCAGCCATGCAGCAGAAGGTGTAGACGTGCAGTAAGTGCGAGGCTTAATGGCGCACCTCTGCCAACATCCTGGCCCATGCTCAGGGGTTTGGGGATTGTGGGGATACTATAGGATGTGGTCCTGCTGAGGCTCCCGTGGGGAGGCTGGCTGTGTTTACACTCACATGACGCAGAGGGCCTTAGAGAGCCACTGTGACCTAGGGCCGAGTGTGTGTAGATGGAATGCTGAGGGAGACTTTTAGCAGAGACTCACGGGTGTGGGAGGACCTTGTTCAGGAGGCACCGCTTAGCAGGTGACCATGCCAGGGTGCCCACCTGCTCTCAGGAGCAGCTCTCTAGTGGTCTCAGCCCTGGGCCTGTCCCCAGGCCCTGGCCCTCAGAGCATCTCCTTGATAAAAAGGTCTCTCTCTACTTCTCTGCAGCCTTCAGTGCCCCAGGTTCCAAACTACAGGCTGTCGATGACCATCCCAGACTGGCTCCAGGCAGTCCAGAACTACATGAAGACACTACAGTATCCTTCCAACCAGGGTCTGAGCAGACCCAGCCAGGGGACAGACGTGGTGATCGCAAGCTTGGGTGGCATGTCTGTCCCCAGCTGGTCAGCAAGTGCTCTCTAAGGTTGGTGAGGGCGGGCATGGAGGGATGTTCCTACGTGAGAGCCTAGAAGGAGTGATCGTAGAGGATGTAATTGCGATGATCAGACCCTTCTCCCTTTAGGCGGGACAGCAAGAGGGCAGCGAGGCAGTGGGGGGCCACCTTGAGCCTCCCCCTCTTTCTCTACCTTCTCCTTCTGGTTGTCTTTCCCTCCTCTCTTCCTTTACTGTCTTTCTCTCTCTCTCTTCACCCCTAGTCTTCCGTTCCTTTTCTTTCCTCTCACTTTTTGCGTTCATCCTGACCACTCATAATCTCCATGAGGCCCACTTGCCTTTGGCCCCCCAGCCAACCAGACTGGTGGCCTTGCTCCATTCTGCATGAACGAGTGGGGCTTTGGGATGGGGGCCCTCTCCCCTCGCTTGAGCTTGAGGAATGGCCGAGGGGCCCTGTGGGTTCAGAATGCGTTCAGACCAGCCAGACTGTGGTTCTTTTCTCTGCCACTGTCCTCAGGTCATGTGCAGTCAGGATTAGATCAGCTCTGAGGGCCCACATGAGCAACACTGTAGAACAAAGGGGCCGAGGCGGATGGCCTGCTGGCCGCTTCTGGTGTTTTATCAGGAATGGGAGTCAGATGGGAGCTGGGCAGGCAGAGGTGTACATGAGAGGGACAGGCTGTTTGCCCAAGCAAGTCAGTAGGATCTCAGAACTAAGCCAGCATCAGACTCCCTGCAGAGGCAGCTGCCACCGCCCTAGGCCCTCAGCGCATTGTCCTGGAGATCAAGCCTCTACTGACCTCTGTCCTTCCTCCTCAAAGAACTAAGCAGAAAGGATTTCATGGGGCACTGACACATGTCCACAAGCCCCAGAAGCGGCCCCTCCTCTTGGTGCTATAGGCAAGAATCTTTCCTGTGGATTTCTGTGACTTCCCTGATGGGATGGGTACTACCAGCCGGGAATAACACCAGTTCCCTCTCTTTTGGGTAGGCAGGTTACTTGATTAGCCTCTCAGTTCTCACGTGACAGATTATGAACTCCCCTACATGGCGTCTTCCCAGTGGAATCCTAAAGCAGTATTCCAGGGAGAAGGCAGCGCCAGCCTCCAGGCGTGGAGCAGACAGCCCCAGCCGCGGGATAGCTATCTGGCGTGCTGACCCCCCAGCTGAAACTTCACATGGGGAGCCCCATGTGGTCCGGGAGCACAAACTGCTGCCAGGGTAGAAGGCCTGGACCCCAAGAGCTGAGCCTTTCTGGATGTGACCGAGACCTCACAGAATATTCCAGAAAGTGATAGAAATTAGAGTGGCTCCCCATTTCTGCCTAAGACATGGTCTTCACAAGGACCACTGGCCAGGGGTTAAAGAGAGTGAACCTGGCCGGAAATGCACCGATGGGGGCAAATCTGCGTGTGCCTTATACGTCATCTGCCCTTTCTCCTATAAACCCCACAGCACGTTCTCAGCCAAGTTTTCACTGTTGTCCTGAAGGATCTGCTTTTTAAATTTATTTTCTCTTCTCTGATGAGTTGTGACGGCCACTGACCTAGATCACTGACTGTAGAGAGGGCGGAGAAAGGAAAGCATCAGCAGGCTGCTGGGACCATGCTCCCTGTCACCTGGCCGCTAGGGCCGCCACACAAAGAAAGTGGAGTGTGGCCTCTCATTCTGCCTTCTTACATTTATTTAGTTCCTTGGGACTTCCTACTGCTTTGTTCTGAACACAGTGACTGGTGCTAGAGTATGGGGACCGCTTAGGGCCAGCCCTAACTCTAGATGTGCTTGGCTGGCAGTGGGGACGTGAGAGGACAAATCCTGCCTTTCCTTCTGACAGCCTCAGATCATTGGCTACGAAGAGTGCTGATCTTGTCTGGGGTTCTGGAAAGAGGTGCCTCCTGAGCTCTGCGTGGGAGGAGCCTTCTGAGGGTGGACTTGGGCTCAGTGAGTCTCTTACTCTGAAGGTGGTGTTAATAGGAAGCATTCCCCCCGGCTTGCTTTCAGGGGCTACTGACTGTTAGTAACAGAGAAAAGATGGCCAGGTAATTTATTATTATTTTATTATAGGTTTGTCTGACATTACGCATTAGATATATAAACTACATATATATAAATAGAGAAAGTTGGGCATATACCTTGATTTTTTTGCCAATTGAATTCTACTTTAAATATACCAGGAATCTCATTGTTTGAGTGAAACCTTTGGTACAGTAAAGTAATAAAATAATATAAAAAATAACTTTACAGTGAGAATAAGTAGCTCCTCATTTTTCTCTTTTATTTCCAGGGGTTCGTATGTTGTATTTTTTAAAAGCTGGGCAAGCCTGAATTTGTTCCTGGTTATCCTTATGGCCATGCCGGTAATTTCCAGACTGCTGGTGAGCTTGTTCAAATCAGCTGCTGGCCCTCACCCTGGAACTTCTAATTCAGCCATCTAAGATGGCGTGACTCTGAATGGCATCTAGGGTTAAAACCATGACCTGAAATCAGAATCTTCAGGAGTGAAGCCCAGAATCTGCTTGTAACGAGCTCCTCAGGTGGTTGTTATATGTGCTCGTGTATGAGTGGGAATCCCAGCTGTTCTCAGAGGGTGTGCAGTGTCTTTAGGTGGTCGGCATCACCCACCTTCTGCACTGCCTCTACCACTGTTGGTGGGGGCACACATCTAATATCTGAGTGGGAATACTAGCTGTTCTCAGGAGGATGTGCAGTGTCTTTAGGTGGTCAGTATCACCCACCTTCTGCATTGCCTCTACCACTGTTGGTGGGGGCACACATCTAATCTCATACACCCACTGCATCTGGGATACCAGTTCATGTTTCATTGGCACCTTCCCAATATGCACTTTCCTATGGGATTTTGTTTGAGGCAGGATAGGGAAACATGCAAAGCAACTTTTCTTTAGGCTCTGAAAAATTAAGATCCACTCTCAGAGAGCATGACATCAGGGAATCTTTGGTGTCCTTCAGGGTGACCTGGTGCAGGCTTGTCAGTCCCTGAGACCTTCTTGGTATCCAGCTAAATCCCAGGTTGTGGATAATGTTGTCATCTTCTCAGGTTTAGTAATCAATGTCAAGTGTCAGGTCAGGCGTAACATGAAAGCGATGTCTCCACAGTAAGCTCTGTTGCAGAGTCTGTGTGCTACTGAGAAACCCTATTGCCATACATCTACCCTTCTATCCATCATCCTTCCATTTCTTCTATTTCATCCATCCATCCATCCATCCATCCATCCATCCATCCATCCACCCACCCACCCTTCTGTCTATCCATACAGCCAGCCAGCTTTCCATCCATCCATCTACCCTTCCATTCCATCAATTACATTCATCCTTCCTTCCTTTAATCTATCCATTTATCTATCCATCCATCTATCCACTTACCCTTCCACCCATCCACACATTTATTCATGCATCTGTCCACCCATCTCCCATTCATTTAATAATATTTGCTAACTGGAATATGTTGGCTGGTGCCAAGCTTTATGGGTGATATGAAGATGATAAATAAATGGTCTCAACTCTCAAATAGCTTGTAGTCTAGTTGGTGAATTAAGACATGTATTCAACTAACCAGAATCCAGAGCAGATTGAAAGTAGCTATTATAAAGGTCCAGTGTGCTTTGAGGCCTAAGTTAGAAGTTAAGTTTCCAGGGCAGGACAGTGAGGAGTCAGAGGCTGTCGACTACCTCTGGCTACTGGACACTATCTGGAAAGTCCCTACTTCCTCATCCTACTGAGAAATCAATGCATAGCTTCCTCTGCTGGATTCCTGGGACCTTCGGAGTTTTCTGTCACTTTCCCTTTACATACTTCACACAGATACAATCATACAGGGACCCAGTTCTTTGAAATTAGGAAAATGAGACCTCTGAGTGGGTAAGTGGTGCATGATCTGCGGGCAAGGTGACCTCTCTCCTACCTGAGAGCTGCCAACTCCTCCTACGCTCCCACCCTGCATCTCAGGGCTCAGATATCCTACCTAGTCTGTCGGGGTGGAGAATGGGGGTTGCCTAGGGCCATGTTGGAGGTGGGGCTGGGGTCCGGCCCCTCTGACAGCTAGACTCAGTGGTGGAGACTAACTCTAACAGGGCTCGGGGGAGGCCTATGAAATTTGTTTCCTGTGGCCACCTTTACTTGCTTTGTGTTGTGCTCCTTGTCCTGGGGCATGTGGGAGGAGGCTATGGGATATGGGCACTAACATCCAGGAGCTAGCTCTTGAAGAGAGAGGGGCGGAGAATTTAGGATTTGGGTTGTGCTGAGAGCAGATGTGCTTTGGCCCTCTCCTGCGAGGTGAGTTCTTCCTTTCCCTCCGTATTCCTGCATGGTGCCTGGTGCGGAGATGGGCATGATGATGGATTGACAGACCACCTGCATCAATAAATAAGTCCTGAGATCCTTTGCTGTGCTCTATCCTACAGGTTGATGGAAACAGCGAAAGAAATGACTCGAGAGTCCTTGCCTATCAAATGCCTTGAAGCTGTCATCCTGGGCATGTATCCTTTAAGTTATGTTTGCTTAAGTTTACTCCTTAGACAGTGGTCTCACTATGAGGCTGGTTGTGCCTTTAACATCCTAGATCCACAGAAATGATGGCTGTTGTCTCCTTGGAGGAAAGTATCAAACTCTCCTGATGCTTCTCTTTAACTTCCACCATCTGGAGTTGAACAAAGTCAGAGCTTGGTTCCTTGGACCATCATCAGTGTAACTTGTTAGCTAAAGCCTGCATCAGGGCCAGCTCTCAGGCCAGCCTCACTAGTCATAAGGAGAATTCTAACTTAGAGGAAATAGAGTTTATATCCTTGTTTTTTGCATTGACCTGGCATGGCAACGGGAAAGACACTGAAGGGGAAATGAGATCCTCCAAACCCATCTCCAGGGGAAATTCTGAGAGCGGGTTGTGGAAGGGACCATGCAATGTTCTGACTCTACGGGACGTAGAGCTGAAACAAGGATCTCGTCCCTCCCACACTTTCTGTCCTGACTCCTGGACATATTTAGCCTGAGGTGAATATGGTCCAGAAAACTGTGGCGGTGCTGACTTATTAGTGGCGATGGCCGTAGAACGTGATCTGACAGGAGAGCAAGGGGACACCCAGTCCTTTGGGGTGGGTGCCTGGAAGGGACAGCGACCAAGGAAACATGGCAAGTCATGAGCTTGAGAGGAGGTTCCAGGTAAGACCAGTTCGGTCCTTAGTGCTATGCTAAGTGCGACCTTTTTCCAAAAGGCGTTGGGCAGCCCAGATGAAAGCTCTGGAGCAGAGGTGACACTTCGGAGAGGTAGCTCTTGGTGCAGATTGAAGGACAGACTGGCAAAGGCTGGGGATGGATCTGCAGGGCCAGTTAGAAACTGTTGCACGATGGACATGGGGATGGGAAATGGGGGTGCCTAAACTGTGGTCCTGGCAATGGGAATGGATTTGAGGGGACGGTGTCAAGAAAGATGAAGGCAGTAGAATTTACAGGACTTGGAGGCCAGCGGGGTGAATTTGATGAGGAAGGAGTCAACACACGTTTCTGGACTGGATGAGTCTGGAGGGTGGGCTGCAGAAAAGAGAGTGGCAGAGAGGTGAGGTAAAGACCTGAACTAAAACGGCAGCAGTGAAGGTGGAGAGAAGGAGCTAGAGGTGTCAACACCACTTGCAGCTTATTAGGTATGAGGAGTTAGGAGAAAGAGGCTGTGACTCCACTTATCTGGCTTAGAAAACTGGGTGGTTGGGTAAAAATGCCAATCTGAGAGAAGGACTTAAAAAGGAGGATCAGATTTATGGGGAGGTGAGTTCAGATTTGCACATGTTGAATTTGAGGTTCCTGTGGGTGTCGCGGTGGGATATTTCCAGTGTGGAGCTCAGGATGGGACTCCGTGCTGGAAATACAAGTTTGGGAGCTGTGAGTATTTAGGGGATGGTAGATGCTGTTCAAGGAGCGAGAAGAGAAAAAGAGCAAGGATGAAATCTCACTATTTTTTGGTCTCATTGGATGCAAAATGCCCATGAATGAGACTAAGAAGAACAGCTCAAGAGGTAGAAGGAAAACCAGGAGAGGAAGGAGATGCAGCAGTCGGCAAAAGGACGGATGGCTCAGAACCAGGCCGGGGACAGTGGGACACACCTAGTCTGCTTTCCTGATCTCCTGGACACTTTTTATGGAAAGAGGAATTTCTGTGCCTCTGTGGTCCGGTCCACAGAGCACTGGCAGCCCTGATCGGAAATGGTTATTCACAGGTGCCCAGGCTGGCATTTGAAAAATGGAAACTTGAGCCTTATTGAGGCCCCTCCCTAACTCACCTTTCAGACCTCCTCTTTGCTCCCCGCAAAGGAGATGAAATGTGTATCTGGGAGCCCAGCAGGATGTCTGGGGGCAGCAGATGGCTCAGCTCCCCCACCTGGTGGCAGGAGTCAGCCACAGCTGTTGGGCAGAGCCTCCTGCAAGTTTAACGGGGTTGAACTATCAATCTTTGGGGATTTGCTGGTGGAGATCAGTGGGGGCGGATCACAAGTGCAGGCCCTTTACCAGGCGGACTAGCTCACGCCAGAGCCGCTGCCGATAGATGTCTGAGTGCAGCTGGACAGAGGTTGTCTTGCTTTATGTAACAGTCGTGTGCATAGTAGTCTTGTGTCTGTGCAATTTTAGAAATCCAAGCCTTACAGTAGGTTACAGGAATTACCTAAAACTTTGTGGGACTGTGGGGACAGACCTGTGACCAGCCTTGGCCTGTCCAAATCCGAGGTAATGTGTTCTTGCTTTCCCTTTTTTCTTACCGGTGTGACATTTCAGAAAAGTGCAGGGAAGGTGGAGAGGCTCAGCTCACGGTGCTGAACGCAGGGAAATTTGACTCTTGGATACAGACAAGAAACATAGACCTGAATTCTAAAAGTTACAGCATCTTTGTCTTTGCTCTTTGCTCTGTGTCAGCATCGCTGTGCCCTGCTTTCCTCTCGGGCACAGTGAAGGACATGACACAGGTCCTGGGAAACAAGTGGTGACAACCCTGAAACAGGTCTGCTTGGCGGCTGCGGGGAAGCCCGTGTCCTTCCTCGTTTTCTCTTGGTCGACATTAGCCTGGAGGTCAGGATTCCTTCTCGAAGAGCCTCTTCTTTTAATCTTGCTTGAATGTGTGTGCACTTTTACCTGTGTGTTGGAGAGAGAGACCTCTGGTTCCAGATTATCTTCTGAATCCTGGCAGTCCCTCGGGGGCCATCGCCGACCTTGGTGGGGTCTAATCATGGTCCTAAAGTACTGTGGTTTGCTCATGGAACAGGTACGTTAGTGGAGGCAGGTTACGCACACCCCTCGCAGGCTGGATGTGGACAGATCTTCCCGGAGCTTGGGGCTCGGCTGCTCCCCCTTCCCTAGGAGATCTCAGGTGGACTCCCTGCCCTCATCTCCCCTTCCTCTCCCCTCCCTCTTGGTTCCCAGTTGTTCCAAGGCTTTACTGATGGCCACAGTGATGGAACACATCCTAGAGATTGGTGACTTGTAACTGGTGGTCTCTCCCGTCTCCTCCCCACTCCCACTTTTCCATAAGACTAATTTTTGGGCCTCTTCTCTCTTTGAGGTCTCCAGGCTTGTTTCTCTTACAGCATATATCACATTGTGTGTGTGTGTGTGTGTGTGTGTGTGTGAGAGAGAGAGAGAGAGAGAGAGAGAGAGAGAGAGAGAGAGAGAGAGAGAGAGAGAGAGAGAGAGAGAGAGAAGAGTAACGTAAATTTACCATTTTAATTATTTTTAAGTGTCTAGTTCAGTGGCACTGAGACCATTAACTGTTGTGCAGCCATCACCACCAACCATCTCCAGAACTTCCTCTTCCCCAACTGAAACCCACACCCACCAAACACTGACCCCCACTTCCCCCTCCCCCCAGCCCTTGGCAACCACCATTCTACCCTCTGTCTCTGTGAATCTGACAACTCCAGGTATCTCATAAAGTAGAAGTATATAGTCTTTGTCTTTTTGTGGCTGGCTCGTTTCACTTAGCATAATGTCCTCAAGATTCATCCATGTTGTAGCAAGTGTCAGAATTCTCTTCTTTTTTTAAGCCTGAATCGTATTTCATTGTATGTATAAATCACATTCGTTTATCCATTCATTCATCTATGGACATTTGGGTTGTTTCCACCTTTTGACTATTGTGAATAATGTGGCTATGAACATGGGTGTGCAAATATCTGTCCAAATCCTTGCTTTTAATTCTTTTGGGTATACACCTAGCAGTGGAATTGCTGGATCATAAGGTAACTCAATGTTTAATTTTTTGAGGAACCTCCATACTGATCATATTGTGTCCATTTTGAGTCTGTCTCCTCACCAGACTTCCAGAGAAGGGCTTCATTCTTTAGCGCCCAGCCCTGCCCAGCAGGCTGTCTGGCACAGGAGCCGCCCACTCAGTAAGTGTTTGTTAAACTGATTTAAACAACTTTCCCTTATTCCAACCTCGGATAACTCGTCCCAGAAAGCAAGAAAGAATTTATGTGAGAGGGCTCAGAAGGATGTGATTTCACTCCCTGACTGCCAGCTAATCTCACATGACGAAGTGGAGAGAAAGCAGGTAACTGTTGTTATAGAGCGGAGCCTCTGTGATTACATCGAGGGCAGAGGACAAGGCTGACTTCATGGCTGGGGCTGGGTTCTGTCAGCTGCTTTCTATTAAAGGTACTGGGATGAGCCCCCTGCTGAGTGCAGTCCTTTTAAGTGTAAGGAAATGGATCCTCACAATCTAAGGTTCCTTCCCTCAGCAAGCATTAACCAAGCACTTCCGTGTGCCAGGATCCTGCTATGCCCTTTGGATGGAAAGATGCACAATCCCAAGATACAAACAAACAATTAGAATGCCGGATGAATAGGACCAGGTGCTGTTGGAGTTCTTGCGGGGGGTGGTGGTGGTAGAGGAATACCTCATGGGCTGAGGAAGGTCAGGGAAGGTATCACACCCAGGAATGGATATCAGTGAGGCTGTTCCAGTCAGCGTGCAGCCTGTGTGAACCCCGGGAGTAGAGGGAGCAAGCCCACAGCATCCTTATCACTCAGGATTCTCAGGAGACCCCAGAGATCTCTGCTGGATTTGAATCCCCCACACTGTAAAACTGCTGGTGAGTGAAGCCATAAAAGAGCAGGGACATAATGTAGTACAGGGTGTGTTTAGTGGCATGTCTTTGGAAAATGTCATAGATCACTTTGATCTCACAGCTTTGCAATGTAAAGGTCATTTAAATGTCGTTTAAAATTTTCAGTTATATTTGGCCTTGTATTATGGGGCAATATGTGTGCTGAGGGCAGTGGACATAGACCTGTGGTTTTTTTTCTGGTCTGGCGTATCCTTCAAAAATGTCACAGGTCTGCTGTAGGGTAGGGTGCTAGGCCAGGGAGTGGGGGAAATGAGACTGTACAAAGGAATGACGAGCAGGGACCGAATCATGACAAGACTTTGCTAAGGGATTTAATTGGCTCAAGTCCCGGAGAAGATGAGAGACAGTGAAAACTTAAGCAGTAAAGTGACATGTACCGAATGTTGTCAGTAGATCATTCTGGCCACTGTGTGGAAAGTATATTGGAGTAAGAGCAAGAAATGGCGAAGATGGATTTTCAGAGAGTGGAGAACGGTACCCATATGCTGAGCACTTACCATGCAGAAGCCACCATGTTCAGCACCTGGATTATTCTTTATCATAGGAACACTTGGGAGTGACCAAAGATTTCCAGCGGAGGAGTGACTTTATAAGTTTCCAGTCTTCCTCTCCAGAGAAGCTGGGTCCTTGTGCCACCACGGCCTTGCCAGGGCTGTCCAGGCACTTCGAGATGGTCTTGAGGATGTGGTGCCTCTTGTCCCTTGTCCCAGGACATGGAGTCAGTGGGGCAGTTACTGGGAGCTGCACCCTGAAGGGTTACCGGGCCTAAACTTGAGGTAAGAGTGAAGAGACTGGGTTATTCCATCCAAAAGGGCCAGATACGTGGAGAGATCTTAACTGTGACGCCAAGTGTGTTGGGGACTGAGGGGAGCCTGAAGTTCGGGTGTTACAGACAGCGTTCTGTGTGGTACCCAAGGCCTCTGTCATTGCCGTGACGGGGCCAATGAGAAGAGCAGACGAGGTGCATGTATGACCCATTCTGATACCTTTCTGTCCCTTACCGTCTCGATTATCAGCCAGTCTGTCTCTTTTACAGCTCCGTTGCCTTGTCTTGATTCTGTTTGTCATTTCTCCCCTGAACCATTGCGGAGACCTTTAATTCCTGGTCTGTCCCACATACTCCAGCCAGAATTAACTTCTGGGATGTCATCCCAATTGCACGCACACAAAAAACCTTTAATAGCTTGTCATTCCCTGTAGAAAACCAAGGGAAGCAAAAGTACCTTGTTCCTGTTTTGTTTTACCTTTATTTAATTACTAAAGAAGATGGCAAGTTTTCCCTCTTTGTCCCATATTAATTTGGTTTGGGTTTGTACCATGTCATATAGGTACTCCAAGATAATCGAGTGAATCTTTTATAAGAGGATTAGTCGGGGAAGGTTAGATGCGGGCCTGCTCAGAGGCAGAGGAGTGGGTTCACTGACCTACGGGCCACTTTCGCTTCCTGGGAGTCCAGGCTCTGAATGTTCAAGGCCTCCTTTCTCTTCCTTAACTCAGATTGTCTAAGATACTTAACCAATGGACAGCCTTCCATTGAGCGCTTCCCCATCAGCTTTAAAACCTACTTCTCAGGAAACTACTTTCACCATGTTGTGCTGGGGATTTACTGTGACGGCCGCTATGGCTCTCTGGGCATGAGCCGAAGAGCTGAGCTGATGGACAAGCCGTTGACCTTTAGGACTCTGAGTGACCTTATCTTTGACTTTGAAGACTCCTACAAGAAATACCTGCACACAGTCAAGAAGGTCAAGATTGGGCTGTACGTCCCCCATGAGCCTCACAGCTTCCAGCCCATCGAGTGGAAGCAGCTGGTTCTCAATGTCTCAAAGATGCTGAGGGCTGACATCAGGAAAGAGCTGGAGAAATACGCCAGGGACATGAGGATGAAGGTAGGTGCCAGGAAGGTAAACGAGCGAGGGATGCAAGGGAGCTCTTGCCCCATCTTTCCCTCTCTCCCTCCCCCTCCCTCCCTTCTGTTCCCCCACCCCTTGCCCAATGCGCCATTTTTCTGGGATGGTCAAAGGTTCTTGAGGTTATCTTGCTTGGTAGCCGCCCTATTAAAACAAATAAACAAAAAAAATAAAAGTCATTCTCTGTTTAACATGGGCTATTATTAAAGTCTCTCTTTGTGTATATTACTTCAAACACCAGAGTGAAAGTCAACTTAGATGTTTTAGTCAAAGCAGTGTCTTGGCTGGCGTTTTCTTCTGTGAAATCAATCTAAAGTGTTAGTCACTTTATCTAGGGCTCTAGTTTTTGTCCTCTTTTGTTCTGTTTTGTCTTTCTGATAGAGTGGCCAATCAACCCAGTTTCCCTGAAACTGAAAGGTTTCCCAGGACATGAGATTTTCGGTACTTGAAGCCAGGAAAGGCCCAGGCAAACCGGGATGAGTGGGTCTCCCTGCTTTGTGGCCTGTTTCAGAGTCACATTTTACCTCTGCTTTGCTCTATGAGTTGCAAAGCCCTTTGGCAAAAAATTCTGACCTGGTGTCACAATACCAAAGGAGCGTGCGCTGTGCTGGCTGTATATAAACTGTAGTCATAAGCCCTTCTTCCCCCTACCATGTCACTTCCAAGGTGACATGATGCCTGCTTGTCCGTGTCCCTCCAGGGCTTGTGGAGTCACTGAGAGAAAGCCTGAGCGGACACTGAGGACCACAGGGGAAAAGGATTATCTGAATTCCGGCTTAGTTATGTTTAGCACATGAGGACTTGTCATCCTCACTCTGCGGGACCTGGAATGGAGATTCTCGATAAATTGAAACCACTCTGTGCATGTGTGTGGGTGGCAGAGTCAGGGGAAGAACCAGCTGGTTTCTGGGGCACCATAGCTGGGACTTTGCCTTCGTGAGAGAGGAACTTGCTGAGCAACCAGACACAGCCCCTCCGAGGCTGAGGCGCTAGGCTCTGCACCTCTCTCTGCCTTGGAAAAAGGGGCACAGTGTAATCACATCTCCTGGGAAGTAGTCCCTTTGCTTCTCACCAGTGCAGAGTGAGAGAGGAACATCTGTGTCTGAGACCTCCTCCTGGAGGTCTTCCAGCTCAGCACCCTCTAAGCCATGAGTGGGCTGGGGGCTGAGACGTGAGGGTGGGCTCCGTTAGGAATTTTCCAGCTCAGCGCCCTCTAAGCCATGGGATTGTGAGTGGGCCGGGGGCTGAGACGTGAGGGTGGGCTCCGTTAGGAACCGGCGTGGTAATTCGTCATATCTCCTTCAGATCCTGAAGCCTGCCAGTGCCCACTCTCCAACCCAAGTAAGAAGCCGGGGAAAATCCTTGTCTCCCCGAAGGAGACCGGCAAGCCCCCCAAGACGGCTCGGCAGGCGAGACAAATCGTGAGTAGTGTCTCCTCAAAGCCCAACTCAGGGCCCAACACACACATTCCTGGGGTTGTCCTGGCCCGTGGGGACAAAGCTGGGTCCCGGACGTGGCGTTTGAACCAAACGGTGATTTCCGAGGGGACTGCCTCTCTTTCCAGGGACATCTCTTATGGGAAAGGATCCACCACATCACCCCCATTGCTCTCGCTCTACCGACCGTGAGCTGTAGGTACCGCTGGAAGGATGAGCCCCAGACGGTGCGAGATGATAATAGCCTGAAATCCTGGCAGCGTGACAGGAGAGCTGGACTTAGAATTAGGAAACTGGGTCTGGAGCCAGCTCAGCCACTGATGAGCTGCGAGACCACAAGAGTGTTGTGAAACCTTTCTGGGCTCAAGTTCTCTCATCCCAAACGTGGGATTGTTAGAATTGATAAACCTTCCTAAAACTCTGTAGCCATATTTGCCCAGCAGAAAGAGTGACTGCCCTCCATGGGCGGTGGCATCATAAACCCCACAGGCTCATCCTCTTCCTTGGCCGACTCTACCCTCCCCTATTTTAGCCCTGAGGCCAGTGATTCTACACCTACTTTTTAGATCAAAATGACCCACTTAATAAATGACAGATCGGAGATGTTGAGGATGCCCAAAGTAACTAAGGATAACCCACTGGCAAATATTTGGGCCATAATTATACTGGGAAAAAATAATACTTTTATTAATAACAGCAGCATACTGTGTCACATGAGGTTCTCACTGTGCCGGGGCCATGTGGCACAGTGCACAGAGATCCAGGTGAGCGGCCTGGGCATGTCCTTCAGGAGCCCTTGTTTTCTCATGCGAGA